ACTTTAAAATAATAGAATATTTGCAGATACAAAGTCAACTACTAAGGAAAGTACTTAGATTACATGAAAGAAAACCAAGAATGAAATGAAAACTTATAATAGGTACCTATCAATAACAGCTATCACATGTATAGGCTTAAATATATTAAAACAACTTATGTTTGAAGGGTATAGACATTCAGAGCTCATATTAATAAAAAAACAGGAGGTGCAGAGTTTTTAGAGTAAAGGCGGGTACCTAACTTAGAACAGTATGAACGAACTGTACTTACTAAATCGTCGAAGTTCGAATAGTATGTATCTAACTAAAGGTTTTGCGATAGTAATGTAGGTACCTATTACCTGGATACCACTTTGTTTCTTGCAACGTTAAGCTAGTGATGCACAAATTAGGAAGAGGATTGAAAACGATAGTACTTACTTATAATAATAAACAGAATGTAAATTTACTATCACAGAAATTCACAGAATAGAATAAAATTGCAAAGATCATTGTTAATAAATTGAATTTGGTACTGTGCTTAGGTCTTTACCTGCAAGAGATTAGTTAAAGGTCAGTTTATGTAAAGCACAAGTGAAATAATTTCTAAAGGACATACCTAGAGCATAAAATTGTAGCCCTGCTTTTGCTGATAATAAAGAAACTATGATTGATAAACTATTATCAAGGATATTAAGAATTAAAAAAAAACAATATTGCAGATTTAGATTTACACCATTTATTGGCCTGGTGTACCACACGAAATAAGAGAAGAATGGATTTATTAATCGACTTATTAGTAATAAATAGTTAAAAGGAAAAGAAAATTAGAAATGTTAACATAGTGGAAGTAAAATTGAGGAATACTTAGAATAAGTAGTTTTATAGGCATAAAAGTCAAAATTCAAAGTCAAAGTCAATGGTCAAAAAGAAAAGAAGGAAATAAAATGGTCAAACTCAGGGTTAAAAGTTAAATTGAATACAAGAGAGTTATGAGAAAAGTAAAGTAGTAATAAAAGAGAATCAATGAATGACTGACTTAAACGGTTTACAAATACGAAATATTTAGATATGTATAAATAATTAATAAGTATGCAATAGAATTCAGTAAAGAAAATAAATGTTAACAAACATGGTGAAATAATAAAGGCAATGTATGATATAAGTGAAGTTATCTATTACACAATATGGAAAAGAGTTTATGGATGAAACTTGACGATAGAATTGAGTGAAGCAAATAAATATTAACTAGCATTGTGGATTAATACAGGCAATAATATAAGTGAAGTTACAGAATAAACATAAAAAAGGGCCGTCTTGCCGGACGATGACTAAAATGGCATAATGGGCCGTCTTGCCAGACGATGACTAAAATGGCACAGAAGGCCGTCTTGCCAGACGATGACTAAAATGGCACAAAAGAAAGGGCCGTCTTGCCAGACGATGACTAAAATGGCATATGGGCCGTCTTGCCAGACGATGACTAAAATGGCACAAAAGGGCCGTCTTGCCAGACGATGACTAAAACGGCACAAAAGAAAGGGCCGTCTTGCCAGACGATGACTAAAATGGCACAAATGAAAGGGCCGTCTTGCCAGACGATGACTAAAATGGCATAATGGGCCGTCTTGCCAGACGATGACTAAAATGGCACAGAAGGCCGTCTTGCCAGACGATGACTAAAATGGCACAAAAGAAAGGGCCGTCTTGCCAGACGATGACTAAAATGGCATAAAGGGCCGTCTTGCTAGACGATGACTAAAATAGCACAGAAGGCCGTCTTGCCAGACGATGACTAAAATGGCACAGAAGGAAAGGGCCGTCTTGCCAGACGATGACTAAAATGGCAAAAGAAAGGGCCGTCTAGCCAGACGATGACTAAAATGGCACAGAAGGCCGTCTTGCCAGACGATGACTAAAATGGCATAATGGGCCGTCTTGCCAGACGATGACTAAAATGACACAAAAGAAAGGGCCGTCTTGTCAGACGATGACTAAAATGGCATAATGGGCCGTCTTGCCAGACGATGACTAAAATGGCACAAAATAAAAGGCCGTCTTGCCGGACGATGAATAAAATGGCTTAATGGGCCGTCTTGCCAGACGATGACTAATATGGCACAAAAGGACCGTCTTGCCAGACGATGACTAAAATGGCATAATGGGCCGTCGTGCCAGACGATGACTAAGAAAAAAATTACACAGAAGGCCGTCTTGCCAGACGATGACTAAAATGGCACAAGGGGCTGTCTTGCCAGACGATGACTACAATGGTACAAAGAGCTGCATTACCGGACAAAGGATAAAGATGTACAAAAGAGGCCGTCTAGCCAGACGATGACTAAAATGGTACATGGATGAATGAAAATGGTACAAAAGGCTGTCCTACCAGACGTTGACTAAAATGGTGCAAAGGGCTGTACTACTAGACGATGACTATAATGGTGCAAAGGGCCGTCTTATCAGACGGTGAACAAAGTTGTACAGAACCGTCAGATAAGCAAGATGTTGAAAGAAAATGGTACAAGGGTCGTCTAAACAGACGAAAAAGAAATAGTACATTATTTTGATGAAGATATAGATGTATGTATACTGACAAAAATACACTTTGAAACAAGTTTAAGATGATGTATGAACATGGTAATCTTTAATGTAGTAAAGATTATTAGAAAATAATTTAAGGAGCAGGAGAAGGAGTACTTAAAGATTCGGAATATATTTGCAACATGTGAAAAGAAACACTTATTATTGTTGATGCAATTGTCATATTAATGATTTGATACTTTACAGATTGTGGTGTTAATGATTTGTTGTTTAGAAAGAAACTAGTACCGACATTATTGTTTTACTACATGATGCAGGATGAGGGGAAGAAAATAAAGACTTAATCAAAGAAGGTTGAAATGTTGAGCATGATACAGGATGAGAGGAAGAAAATAAAGACTCAATCAAAGATGTATCTCAGGAGATTGGACAATTCAGAGAGCGGTTTCTAAATAGAACACTGAGATAAAACATGAATTCCTAAAGATATTACAAGTAAATTAAGACATGATGCACCGACTCAGATGAAAAGACTGCAAAATTTTGAAGAATAAATTGAAATTTTGAAACTACTAAGTGAAAATGAACAACAAAACATAAGGAAAATTTATGAGATATCTGATAATGATGAGAATGTTTCGAAAATTAGACAGTAATTAATGATGTTAAGCTGATCGAAGTTAAATAGAAACACAGTACCGACAAAAAACACAGAAACACAGACAGAAGATTGAAATATTAAAGTATACAGTACAATAAGATTTTGGAAGATAATCTGATCGATAAGTTTGACACTTATGAAAAGCTTTGGATAAAAGATCAAGTGACTGGAAATATTTTGCGTGGTAGCAAAATGTGTCAGGATGGACGAACTGTTACAATAATGACAAAACAAATATACTGAAACTCACTGGTTGGCGGTATAAGCGTAGTTTGCGTGCCTCGCCCGGAAGACAAAAGGCGGGAGGACGTGAAGAAAAAGAGGGCGGACATTCGTTTTTTGCGGTCAAAGAGGGAAAAAGATATAAAATTATGTTTTATTGTATAAAATATACTGTAAAATGATTGTTTTAATGTCTGAATGTATTATTGTAATGTTTAAAAGGGTCTACATGTGCAAAACCAAAAGTTTTATGAGAATATTTATCCAGATAATGCTAATGGAATAAAAATCTGTTGTTGTTGGCAAACGTGTGCTTTTATTGAGTTTCCACATAATAATACACACCCAAAAACTAACTCAACCTTATCAATATACCTTAGTTGCTTGGACTATAAATTGAAATATGTGGCGTAGATATGGAGAGTGTATTGTCTTGAAGCCATTGTTAGAAGACGTGGGTCTCGCACAATTAGCATCAAAATGATATTTTGATCTTGGCCATACTATACGGTGCTCCGTTTTCATCGATATTCGTAGCTTGAATGCTGGTTGAACGTTCCAATATTATTCTTTGTTTGGTACTTGCTTGTAGCATGCTAGTCAGAAGTTGTAGTGACCTTGGTTCGGCTCGCCGGTTGATCTGTCTAAAAATGTGATGATTTCTAGTATTTGTACAAAAATATAAATAAAGTAGGTGTGGTTTAAAAATAAAGCATATTTATTGGATCATTCTACTGTCATGGAATTGAGATAATTCCATGGTTAATTAATTTTTCTTGAATAATGTTTTATTTTTTGAAATCCTATTTAAGTAAACAAATGGTTACATTACTGATGTTGACTTGAATTATAAAACCCGTTTTAGTTAAAAAAAATAACGTATATTGCACTGTAAAATTGAAAAAAAAAATTAATTTTAGGCCATGGTATTGGGTCGATTTTTAGGAAAAATTAATAAAATACACTATATTTATTTTCGAACCCCAAGTGCGTTCTACAAACTCAAGCCAACCTTAGTTACCTACTATTTATGTACATGAATAACACTTTAATTTTACCATTATTCCAGGTATAAAATATCCATTGAAAATTCTCAATTCCATGGTTAGAAGAATGATCCAGTTATTATTGCGGTGATTAATTACATATGCACCGGACGATATTGCGTTTCATGAGACGATAGGCAAAATATAAATGACAACCTGTGCTGCGATAGCAACAATTTGATATGATGATCATGGACATCGTGTGTCATTCATCTCATCATGTGAAATCTGGTTTTTATGATTTGGGATTTTAACTCTTTACCTCAAATAATAGCCGGTTCCGGAAAAACACCGCAGGATGACGCGGTGCCTACTCATAAAAACAACCTTAGAAAAGCTGTGATTGACATGGACTTGAATGTTCTTGACTCTATGTACTAGTAGTTGTAGATACGTAATAAAATTAAAAACAATAAAACACTTCGTATAATTTTTGGAAAACGTGCAAAACTTAAACTTGAATTAGTTGTAAAACTATACTGGTGGTCGATGCTCACCAGCTTTATTGACTAAGATACACTTGCATTATTTCGCAGGCTACGATTGAGCCCCGGTAGCCCAGTTGGTAGAGGCATCGGCAGTACAGATTCCGAAAGTTGCAGGTTCAAATTCTGCCTGCGGTGAAAATTCTGCAAGTTTTCCACAAACGTTATAAAATTGTTGACCAGCCCAATTGTTTTCCTGATGTGAACGAGGCACCATTAAGTGTTAAAATAAGGGTCAACAGGGATTGCTCTAACCCGCACCCGTCCTTTGTCCTAGAGCCGTGTTTCATTAAGGACGACATCACTGTTTATGATAATACCTACGGAACCCTTACAGAGATAATTCCGCCCATTTCTAATAAGCAAGTGATTATTTTTGGGCAGTCCCTTCGTACGTAATTTCTTGCGCAAGAATTAATCGGGTTGAACAACAAAAGATATGTGCGCCACCATGTTCTTAGGCAAGTAACACATGTTACGTCTGTTTGTGCGTTATTTTTACGCTGCGTAATGCACGCGTTAGGGCAATATGAATTTCAACCTTATTTTCATACAAATGCGGTCTACGTCAAACATCATCCGTCCGACGTCCGTCGACGCAGCGTTGGGCGATATTTATGCGCTAGTGGATGTATCTGTCATACCATTTAACATAAACCGTAATTTTATGACAATAACGTATAAACTCGTATTTTTCTAACCCATGCGATAGCGCAAAGCAAAAATAACGGATAAACTGATGTCACATGTGTTTCTCGCCATTTTCGGAAGCCTAGCATGCGAATGCGACTCACACAGATGATAACAAATTGGTAGATAGATACATCATGTCATCACAAATTAGGAAAGCGGCGCGCGGGCTCCTTTACCAGATGGCTCACTCAGTACTAGCGACGATTTTGACACTTACTGACGAAAACTGGAAAAAACCGGAGTCTCAGGGGAAGTCAAGGTAAACAATGACACGAATGTCATATTTATTGGATTTAAAATTGGCTCAGAATCATACGACGTTCTTTGTCATACTTTGCTGTTTTGTACGTTTTTATACCTACTTAGAGATTTTTGACAGTAGCAACCCTGGCTATGTAACAAATGCCAATCGCGAAAATCTGAAATAGGGCCGAGTGAACCTTCTGTAAACTCTCTATTTTGTGATGTCATGCAGGAAGATCTTCTGACAAATAAATGAAGTTCACGCTACGGAAGAATGTCAGTGCGTCATACATAATACACTAAACATCCGTTGCTGCGCTACTTTAGCCCTGCGTAAGGCGTAAGCTCCATTCCATAGAGTTGGCGTGATACGTAAAATTACATCTGTCATAAAAGTGATCGTCAGAACTCAGACGTCATTGATGCGAGGCGTGTCTCACGTGTGTAACTTTGGGTCTTCTGTTTCATACATTTTATATGAAAACACTTTCAAGCGTCGCGACGCCGCACGTTTCACGTCTTAGGTATATCATGTCTTACGTCTAATGAGACGTAAGACCCGCTAGGAAAATGCGGATTTCCTCCATTCTCATAGAAAAATATTACAGGAGACGTAAAATTTTTTTTGACTTGCCATACAAAATGTAGTCAGTTGATTGTGATTTTGTATGGGAGGTCAAAATGTTTATTACGTCTCCTGAAATATTTCCTTGTTAGGTCTGAATAAGTACACCCTAGTATTCGGAGAGCTGTCCAAAGAGGTATATATGTCTTAAGTCAAGCAGTGGCCTAATACCTAGGCAAATTAGAAAATATGATCTAGATAGACTGACACGCTATCATTAATATGCTTACCTGGGGTACCAACCAAACCTCTTTTCGAATGTTTCCATGTGTCCAACACGAACTCTAAAACTCAAGGAACTTTACTAGTACTAGACTTCTTTTCAATATTTACAGTGAGGCTGTAAACCATTACAGCTCAACAGCATGGAAAGTGAATAATGTGCACATGGCGAGCATAACGCCTGCAGCTAATCTCAGAGCAATCCAGTTTGCACGGTTCGCCTGACGTATGCTCTTTATAAAGTATCAGGCGCTAATTGTATTTAAAAACTCGAGTCGCTTCTTACTAAAATTTTGTTTGTATTCATGGTCTGATCATGTCTGCAAAGTTTTTGGTACACCGTCCTTTTCCTTTATACCCTATTTGTATCTCTACATGAGCATGAGCGGATGAGCGAGTGGCGAAGCACATCTTCTATTCTGAGCTAGAGGAGGGCAAGCGAAAGCATGGCGGTCAACTCCTCCGATTTAAAGATGTTCAGAAGAGACACATGAAAAGATGCAATATCGAACCTCTCAATTTGAGGTTTTGGCAGCACAACGGCCAGAATGGCGCGGTCTTGTAAAGAGGCGAATCCGCGACTTTGAGGAGCAGCGTAAAGCAGACCTTGACACTAAACGCGATGAACTGAAAGCCCGGTCCTCCCGCCGCCATTAACTACAATTATTATCAATAGCAAACTCAAGTGCCCACACTGTGCACGGGAGTTTACTGCCAAAATAGGCTACAATAGCCACATGCGAGCGCATAAGGGCCGACTTGATCAGGAGTAGAAGTGGTCGCCATGGTCGAAACCGGCCGGAAAGATCATCATCATCATCATCTCTACAGAGGCATTTGTCCAGTGGTGGGATAACGGTAGGCTAATAATTTAGATCTGGATAGATGTGCCAACTAATAATTACCTACTTTTGGAAATTTCTTTTTGTCCAATAGTACTTACGAACTTTAATAGACACTAGACTTCTTTCCACTATCTGCGACAGTGAGGCAGTAAACCATTACAGCCCAACAGCCTGGAAAGTGGATAATGTGCACATTGCCAGCATAACGCCTGCAGCTAATCTCAGAGCAATTCAGTTTGCACGGTTCGCCTGACGTATGCTCTTTCTAAAGTATCAGGCGCTTCCTAAAATTTTGTTTTATATTCATGGTCTAATCATGTCTCCAAAGTTTTTGGTATACTGTCCTTTATACCCTATCTGTATCTCTGCAGAGGCATTTGTCCAGTGGTGGGATACCGGTAGGCGAATTAGTTAGATCTGGATAGACTAACAATTTCTAAAAAATTCTTTTTCCAATCTAGTACTTACGAACTTTAATAGACACTAGACTTCTTTCCACTATCTACAGTGAGGCAGTAAACCATTACAGCCGAACAGCTTGGAAAGTGGTTAATGTGCACATTGCCAGCATTACGCCTGCAGCTAATCTCAAAGCAATCCAGTTTGCACGGTTCGCTTGACGTATGCTCTTTATAAAGTATCAGGCGCTAATTGTATTTAAAAACTCGAGTTCGCTTCTTACTAAAGTTATGTTTTATATTCATGGTCTGATCATGTCTGCTAAGTTTTTGGTACACCATCCCATAGACCATATTTGCATCTTTACAGAGGCATATGTCTAACGGTGGGCTAGCGGTATCGCGGTGCTAACTAACAATGTCTTTTGAAAGAAATTTTGTCCAATTTATTACTTACGAAATTTTATAGACACTAGACTTCTTTCCACTATCTGCGACAGTGAGGCAGTAAACCATTACAGCCCAACAGCCTGGAAAGTGGATAATGCGAGCACAGTGAGAATAACGCCTGCAGTTAATCTCAGAGCAATCCAGTTTGCACGGTTCGCCTGACGTATGCTCTTTATAAAATATCAGGCGCTAAATAAACGCAAGGTTCGGTTGTTTGTCGATTCCGTGTTTCACACGAAAAAAGTATTGCGTTTTTGGCAAATTAAAATATTAGAAAAAGTACTTAACTTAGCCCATCTAGGTACTTGGTGAACTAATTTATTTAACATAATGTTTTTGTATTGCAGGCCCAAACCGGAGGTTCAAACTTTGAAATTTTTACCCCATTAACACGTTTCCTATCAACTACGAAAACACCCGTCCGTAGTGACACAAATTAAGGACGGCGCGCGGGGCGCCTTATAGTGATGCATGAAAAAATGTTACGAGTCTGGCAGCAAACGAGTTAACAAAATAATAATCTGTGTTTATTAAGTGAATCAGAAATAATGAATTCATTAACAATAGGATAGGTATCATAATTTATGATAATTTGATTGTATTTATTCAATAATTATGAATTTATGGACAACGGGAAGCACTTCCTCTTCTGTATATTAATTATCAAGCCTTTGCAAGCTGTAAAATTAATGCATTAGTAGGAAAGGGAGCAAAATATACCTACATAATAACTTTACCTAAATAGTTTTTACAGTTTAGTACCCAGAGGGTCAAATACTGAGCCTTCGCTGTCTGTCTCTTTGTCTGTCAGTCTGTCAATAGACTCGTAATCTATGGTAGTTAAATAGTTGAAAATTCACAAAGGTCGTATCACTATTGCCGCCATAACAACAAATACAAAAAAAAAACGATAAAAAAGTTAATATTTAAGGGGGCTGCTATACAATAAACATGATTTTTTTGCCAAATTTTTTATTTTGTTTATTTAACCATTTATTGTACACAAAAAACATAACAGAACAAAACATAAAGAAAAAAGACACAACAGGCACTGCTTATCTCTAAAAAAGAAATTTCTTACAGCAGACCTAACGGAGAGAAATGGCATTTGGCGAAAGGCGGATGAGACGTGCACAATATCTATAAATAATATTGGTATAATACGATACACAGATACGGATTAAATCTAATAAATATATATCTAATAAATATATATTCGCATAATAACCTACCTAAAGTAAATAACAGTAAATAAATAAATACATAAAATAACATATAATACATATAATAAATATAATACGGGTTAATTCGGAAGAGAAAGATAGTGCTCCTTGACTCTCTTCTTATAAACGGTGATAGAAGGACTATCACGTACAGTATGAGAGAGGGAGTTCCATAACCTGACTGCGTACCTGCGCGAGTCCGACTGGCTCTTGGCTAATTTTTTTACCATAAAAAGACTATAGCTATAAAGTATAGTTGGTGATCAAGTAAAAGAAGACATTAACTCATTTACTACGCATTATAGCGTGAAAAAGTACATTAACGGGCTATTTAGCGACTCGTAGCTATTAAGTGCCTCTCGGTTCGAACTATTAAACTAGCACCGAGATCTTTACCCTCTTAAGACTGCTCATTGTAGCTAATAAAGAGGTACGTAAA